ATTATACCCTATAGGTATTTCACTTTGTAGGAAAAGCCAGCATGTATTTTGTTATACAACGGACATTTAAAAAGTCCTTTCATCCATTTTGATATTTATTACTTTGTACAGTACTTCTTATTACTGTGATGTTTTTGTGCCTCAATTCCTTCCGGATAGTTTTTTGAAAGTCAAGTTGGAATCAGCCAGAGTTTGTGCCAATTTAGATATAACTACATTACTAAATTATACACATTTTATTGCTGTTCCCATGACAAGAGTATCTTCTAGATAGTCTTTTTAGTAGGTCATTGAATCTTTTTTACTTTATGGAGCAATAAGAAATGCATGAAGGAATTTGAATTTCAGGAGGCTGTCTTGCATGTATATCTGAGCATTGGCATTTAGAGTCTATAAAATAAATTGGCAGTGAATGTTTTATTTACCTGTTAGAATCTCAGCTAGATCATCAAGTAATACTTTGCCAGATATACTGGAATATACTTGATGGCACAGAAATGGAGTGTAAAGCATTTAATCAAAAATATTTGCGTGTAGGTCTCAAGGATTTTAATGTCACGAAATATCTATATGTATAACATAGACACAAAAATTATTTGAAAAGTAAAACTGGCTCACTGTCATATGTATTCTTTTTTATATGAGCAAAATAGTCACTGTTTATTGAAATATATTTTAGATTACGAATCGTTATAATACTTCACCTGTCTAAATTGCCAAGCTTTTTGATAAAGCAGCGGCATGAATGACAGCTGCAAACCCAAGGTTAGACTACAGAGTTGGTTTCTCTCTGGCTTTCTCTCCTTTTAAGCCTCCCTTTCATGTGTAGCCAAGTGAAATGTAAGCTCTGCAGATCCTCAAGGGTCTTGGCCTGTTGGGAGGATACGAAGACAGGCAGCAGTTTGGAAAGCCTGCAGAAGGCATGGAGGGCAGAAGGCTCAGGTGATGACATGACACTCAGACCTTTTTAAGGAGATGAATGAGAAGGCAGTGCCTCCATGAGCTCTGGATGTATTTTACCCATAAGAGTCGTCCTAGGCTCTCAAACCAGTATTTTGGCTTTAGCCCTCAGATGTTGCAAAAGAAAAGTACATTCTTTTATTGTTCTTCCAAGTCGTTAACCATTTATCCTTAATCATCTGCAGCCTGTGTGGGAATAAGTCTTTTAAAGTTCACTGAACTTTGCTTGATTTGAAATCAGAGTAGAATTTATTTCATTTAATATGGGAAGCCTTCTTTTCAGAAACTTGACACAAACTGGCTTCTTAGAACTGAATCAAAAATGAATACCATAGAAAAACACAGCCAGATGTCTGCTCATGGGTTAGATTGCTGTAAGTTTTATTATTCTTTCATTATGGTTATTGATTATTGAAATAACCTTAGCAGTCAAGATTTAGCAAGTCAGTGTGAATCAATAAATTTTAGGCTACAATTACAGGGATGCAACTTGGCTAACTATATGTCTATATATCACTGTTATCATAAGTTTTATCCTCGCCACTCATTGTGTTAAGAATGATGATTTTAGGAACACTTAATAGATTTGCGTTAGTGGAAAAGTTATTAAGTCCATTAGGCCTCTGGTGTGTAGAAGTGGTCTGTGAAGAAATAAATTCCTTCAGTTTCCACATTGGCATATCGCAAAAGAACCATACTGTGGATTGTTTGGAATTTTACAAATCTCCTCAAGATGAAGTTCAGAATGGTTTCTAAGAGTACTAAATCAGTATCTTGGTGCATGGATTTGGCTGGCATGAATTTGGACAGAGTGGGCCAAATGGAGCTAATTGAGGTGGAGAAAAAACTCAAGAGAACAGGCCATAATGGTGAATAGAGTTATTTGTCACCAAGTTTGTAATAGGATTTTCAATTAATTCATGCAGGCATCCAATGCCTTATATTAGCTCTGTCAAGATGAACTACAGCCACATCTAAAATGCCATCCCCTATTAAACGGTGCATGTCAGTGAATTTGTAATTCCTTCTGTTCAACCAGAAGATGAATGGATTCCACTCAGAAAACAAATGTGTGCTTCAGAAGTGCACATTTCGAAATCCCGAGCGCTTCCTAGGAGGAACATTCTTTGCATTGTTATACAGTGAATATGTATTAAAATGTAATTGCAATGTGAATTTGTCCAAAAAGGAAAGCATCCAGCTGCATAGAGACAAATCCATTTTCAGGTGCTGTGTTTCACTGGTGAACAGACTTTTCATTCCGGGCGATGATGGCGATGATGATAGTTCATGCATGTAGCACTTACTGCCTACTGGGCTTCTGTAATGATTTCCATACATTAATTCACTAAACCCTCACAACAACCTAGATGAAGAAATTGAGGCACAGAGAGATTAACCTGCTCAGAATCACACAGCTAGTTAAGTGGCTGAGCTGGGATTGAAACCCAGGCATTTTGGTGTCTGTGTTCTTAACTGTTACCATATATACTGCCTGATCACGGTCCCATCAGCTCTGTTCCAAGAGCTGGTTTACTACAGTACTTGTTAGTTCTCTGTCTCTGGCTTGGTCACTCTTGCTCTCTCATAGTAATATTTATTGATGTGTTTATCTACTGTTACTTCCTCTGACCATCTTGAGAAATACTGTTAAACAGTGATGTCCAGACTTCAAGAAATACATAATAAAGAAGAGAATGTAGTGAGACATCTCTGTGAGGGTAGACAGAGATTAGAATCCTTCCACAAGGTTGGATCTTAATGGAATATGACCAAAGTTCACAGGATTGTGAAGCTCCAGAGTTCCTGATGGGTTTTTCCCTTCTGGGGAAACCAAAGGGCACAGCAGGATTGTTTACCAGATTAGGTCAGGACTAGATAACAGGAGTCATGCCATTAGATGCAGGATCTTCGACAGGGTCCAAAAGGGCACATCAGGATTCCAAGACTTCTAGAAGGTGCAACTCCCGTCTTCCCTGCATATTGGCCCCTAGAGCAGCTCTAATTAACCAAATACAACATCACATGGACCAAGCCAAGAAGAACGACTGCCAATAGCATTTTGAGAGCCAAGAATTGGCTATTCTTCTTAAGCCAAACAAAAATATTTAACAAAAAAGTTTGGCTTATGAATAATAGGTCAGACTCTAAATCTCTGACTAGAAACCAAACTAATTTTTTAAAACTATGTTATGAAGTTTTACTGCAATCAAGAATATAAAAACTGCGACCCACTCTTTTGGGGGAGAAGGGCTAAGGAGAGGGCAGTAATATAAGCAATGCTCTCTATCGCTCTACTTCATTAGAAAGATTAAACTTAAAAAAATTTTTTCAACTAGTTTAGGCCTGTGCTTTGCACAAAGCTGTCTGCCTGCCTGCCCACTTCCTGTCTATTTTCCACACTACTGCCAGACTCATTGGCCTGGTACATAGTTCTTACCATGGCCGTCTGTGCTTCAAACCTGTGAGTAGCTAGCTGATCATTGCCTGAAGGGCACAGCTATCGAAACACTTTAACATGTGATTCAAGATTCTCTATGAACTAGCCTCTGCCTACCGCTCCTATACTTTAAATTCCGTAATCCCTGTCCAGGAACATTGCAGTCTTCATAAAACCCTAGTTCCTCTCCACAGCATGCTCCATGTCTTTGCTGGTGCTATCGCCCTGCCTGCAATGCCTTTACTTTTCTCTTTCATTTTTCCACTTCAGCTTTGCCTGACAAACTCCTCTGTATCCTTTAAAACTTGGCTCGTGTACTACTTCCCCCAGGAAGTATCTCATTTTTCCACTTACTAAACTCCAGAGATCTGTTCTTTCTGCTCCTTTATCATATCTCTATCATTGCATTTACTATACTATATTATAAATACTTTTAATATCTTATTTTTAAAGGATAAGAACTGAGTCTTGTTCCTCTTTAAATCCTCATCACTATCACATTGCCTGGTAAAAAAGGGAAAGTTCAATAATTGTTTTCTGGAAGAATGAATATATGAATAAGTACATGAAAAGCAGGAGCCCAATAATCTCATTCAGGAGTTACTATAGATATGTTTGATTTGCCATTCATTCTTTGAATCAGTGATAGACAACAATGTCCCAGGGAGACCAGAGATCTTTTTAAAGTGACAACTAATGATCAAAAATGGGTACCTTAAATGCCATAAGGAAATATTCTGTTTAATCCATTTGATGATAGATTGCCTTGGGGCTACACACACATTTTTAAACTTGTCATTTAAAATCATAATGCAATACAGTAACATTCAAAACCTCATCTATTAGCATATCAGCCTAACAGTACTCTAACCAGGAAAGGGCAAAGTTGAATGATCTTATACAGATTTTAAAAGACTATATATCTGTACAATTACAGATTTTAAACTCTGAGAGGGCAGCAACTGTGACTGTCTTACTGTTGTTTTCCAGACCCTGGCACATAGTAGACCTCCAATAAGTACTTGAGTTCATGAAAGAATAAGGTCTACTGCTCACATTAGAAGCCGTTGGGAGAGTTTTGCCTAAAAGCTGAACTCTGATTCTTATCAATCAAGCTTAAGAGCAGTTACTAAATTAATAAATTGTTCTTCTGTTTAAGTTTTTCTTCTCAATGCTTATCATTAAAAAAACTGCTGAATAAAGTAGTTAATATCAGACATTAAGGATTTTTTTTTTTATGAGCTTTTAAATTTTATACCAGGAAGCAAGACTCAGCAGTAGCATTTCCATGCAGTAAAAACCCCAAACAAAACCTGCTAAATTAGACTTAGGAACAGAAGGCTAAGTCACAGAGGGTACATGGATAATCTGCTGTTCTTATTTCACTGTGATATTTGTTTGTGTTTGCTATTTCTTGTTGACATATATAGTTTTTTTATGTTGGATTTTCATCCTAGTATTAATTTGGCCTTGACTTAAAAACAATGATAGTTATATTTTCAGACATTTCTCAACTGTTCTTTCATTAAAATTCACCTCTTTCTATATTTTCAGACATTTCTGAACTGCTCTTTCATTAAAATTCACCTCTTTCTTTAAGGGTATACCTCAGTTACCATGTGCCAAAGCATTAAAAAGCCTGGAGACTTAAATTCAGCAAAGGTGACATCATCATTTTGCGGCGACAAGTGGATGAAAATTGGTACCACGGAGAAGTCAATGGGATCCATGGCTTTTTCCCCACCAACTTTGTGCAGATTATCAAACCGTTACCTCAGCCCCCACCTCAGTGCAAAGCACTTTATGACTTTGAGGTGAAAGACAAGGAAGCAGACAAAGATTGCCTTCCATTTGCAAAGGTAAAGTTAGAGTGACATTGTTTTCCGCTTGCCAGCTATTTTTTTTGTACCTCAATATGTAGGAACATGGCTTGAATTTCATTTTGCAAAAAGATACAATAGTTTTATGTGAACTATATCACTGTGCTTTTAAAAATACCTGAAAGCAGCCTTCTTTAAAGGCACAAAAAAGTAATTTTGTGCTTGTATTGTTCTATATGAAAGATAATTTTGGTTGATGCTTTATGTGGTATCATTTTCATATTTAGAGCTCTAATTTAATTCTAAGCTACTTTACAAGGTATGTGTATCATTCAGGGATTTTAATTCACTAAATTATGAATAACAAAGTGAATCATCATTACTTCCTTATTTTATATGTAAATTTCTTTGCTGCAAAGCACACAGGAATGTCGCTACTGAATTGATAAAATGCTTTGGAATTTTAAGTAGAATATTGTGTTTTTCTGTAAAGAAAAACAGTAGGATATGCATTCAAATGGACATTTGATGTATTATCAGAGAGAAAGTGAGAAGAGCCTGAGAATCAATCTAAAACAGAAGTTCAAGAGGCTGGGTAGCATTTGAGGTTACAATTTGTAGATCTAAATGAAATGAGCAGCCAACCCTTGTGTAGAAGGGGCTCTTAGTTTAACAAGTATCTGAAAGGACATCAGGTTGACTGAAAGTTACCATTCAGTTTATCAAAATGTTGGATTCATCTACTAAAGATATGTTAGGGCATTTTTATTCATGTACTCTTAAAACTTCAGTCCGTTTATTAAAAAGGAAAATTAAGTGACAAGCTTAATGGGATTAGGTAGACTAATGTTTGTTGTTTCTTCAGGATGATGTTCTGACTGTGATCCGCAGAGTGGATGAGAACTGGGCTGAAGGTATGCTGGCAGACAAAATAGGAATATTTCCAATTTCATATGTTGAGGTAAGTTATCTGTAGAAGCTTCAATAATATTAGCTTAGCAAATAAGTCTTAATTATGCCATTTGAGTATTAAGAAGTCGTGACAATCATTTTGCATATGTACATACATCAAATCATTATGTTGTATACCTTAAACAAATACAATGTTTTATGTCAATTATATCTCAGTAAAACTAAGAGAAAAGAACAAAGACAAAAACCTAATTTATTTTTTAAAAAAGTCCTCATAACACGAAGCACTGGGAATGCCCTGTTCCAGATCATTGGATGGATTAGGAAGAATTCCTCCATCCTACCATACAATAACTAAAGACTATGAGACTATGAAATGTTTGAAACTCTTCACTTTGTCCCCCTGCTAAAAGCATTCCTGTATCTTATTAAATGTTACAGTGTGCTTCCTATCAGCACTTATACTGTTTCCATGTGTTCTATTCCATTTGCCAACTTTGGGTTCAGAAGGTTGATAAAGTTCCTGAGTAAGATGGAAGATGAGTGTATCTGTTTGTTTACTTGTTTCTTTCATTCATTATCTGCTACATCATCAAAATGAGAATAGTGATTTACAAAGTAAGCCTCCAACAAACTACAAATAAATGAATGAATCTCCCTCCATCCTATCCCAGCAGCAACTTAACCTCTTCTCCCCTTCTTAATTAGCTTTTTTCAGAAAGATTATGTCCCACCTGATTCAGTGAAGTCTTTTAAGAGAATGTGTCTAAAGTAACATAGTTGTATTTTAAAGAATAACACAAATTAAAAATGAAGTAGGAAGTTACAATTTACAATAGGCCTTCATTGCATCGTATATCATAAACTTTCATGTTCTTTAGTCATAAGAATTTCTTGCTGAAAACAAAATTGAAGGCATTTTCAAGGAATGAAACACAGCCTAAACAACCATACAAGGTTAGCTAAGGTCACAGAAGAGTTTCGGAAAAGTGAGTTCTTAGTAGATATCTGTGTGATGGATATATAGGGGTTAACCAAGAGAAATGGAAAAGAATCATTTTTATGGCAGAAAGAACATTCATGCAGGAAGACCATCAAGTGCAAACGCCAAAAAGTAAGAGACAGCACAGATTGTTTGGGTAACTGAAAATAATTGTTTAAGATATCAAAGCTTGTAAAGATGTTAAGGATGTAAAAAAGGAAAACCACCATCACTTATTTTCCCATCTTTTTATCTGAGGCATTTGTTCTGGCATGATTCTGAACATGAATATGACAAATTGTGTCATTGTAGCCAGCAGTCAATTTCCCCCACAGATAGTGAAATTGCCAAATTTTCCTAAAAAATCAGTTTGACTACTATATATCCATGGAAAAGTAATTCAGACCACATATAAGCCTTGAACTTTATCCATACCCTTTAGATGTTACCACTTATTGAAATATTTTTTCCTCCTTTGAAAGTAAACCAAAAAAAAATTTTAACTCTCGGTCCTTCCTGCATATTATTTATATATTCTAAATGTGAGTCATGAAAAATTATAACCATTTCCAAATATTTGAATAGTTCCACTGAAGAGCGTGGGTAAGCACAAGCTTAGTAAAGAAAGCCTGTCTTTACTTGTTAGGTATTATCAATATTACATGCCAGTACTTGGTGTGTGATGCGTGAAAAGGATCTGTTATACTTTAGTTATTGGGCAGGTGTAGAATTGTACAGATAAGCATAAAAGATCCACCCACAGCAAGTCCAGAGTGACTTATAATCACTGAAGTCATTAGGTTGTTTACTCTGATTTAAATTGGAAAGATGAACTTATGCCTAGGTGAGAGTGTTTTTATTCTTCTGCCTCTTTTCTGACAAATGAGTATTTTCTTCATTTGAACCAGAATTTTGCCAATTGAGATGAGGTAAACAAATCATCTATCTCTAGAAGACTATCTATGAACCTATGACTATTTCTTTGATGTCAGCCCATCAGACTGAAGTTTCTGCTGGGGAGTATAGCATCTGGGGATTAGTGACACCTGGTTTAGCCTTTAGGGGAATAAAGAGGAGGCAGATTTTAATAGAAACCTATCAAAATTTAACTATTTAAATAAAGTATAGACTGTCTTATAAAGCTGTCCCAAATGGAAGAAAGCCAGCTATAGGAATAAAAAACTAGGGCCTTTTCCTGGAATAATGGTCTTTTTTCTTACTGTGTAAACTGCTTTAGGCCCAGACCATCCTCAATGTAAAAACAGGTCATGTTACAAAAATTTATCTGTAAATCATTTTGTTATATCTTGTAAACATACATTTAAGTCTCCATTAGTGTGAGCTGCTTTCGCTTTTTTTCCCCAGTGCTGCCAAAGACTGCCCCCTCCCCAGGTGTTTTGATGAGATCAAATGTGATAATACATCTCAAAGGGTCTGACACTGCTGTGTCTTATGCACAGTGCTTTGGAGCTCAGATTAGATGGTGACTCAGAGTGTGCCAGTGCAGTCATGATCAAATAAAAGAATCTCACCACCTCTTATAATGAGGAAAATGAGTTCAGAATTGAATTCCAAGTCTCTAGAGAAACATCATCTTTGCCATAGGCCTGTCAGCCAAAGCTGAAACTCCCCCTCAACTCCTACTTCTTGGCTTTGCTAATGGAAAGGCCCAGGAAACTTGCATGTGCCAGAAACTTTAAACAGGATGGGCCTGGGGGTAGGATTGCAGACCTGGAGTAGAATCTCTGGGGTCAGAGGTTCAGCTGTGGATTTAAGGGATGGAGTAATTCGGTAGGAGCTGAAATTTAGAAGGTGGGTAAAGAGAGAATTGAGTGGGAGGACTGAGGTAGTGAGAAATGCTACTGGAATAGTTGGTCCTCCCTTCTTGTCTTCAATTATTCTTTCTCTTCTCCCTCAACTTCCCATAACTATGGACTGCAATCTCTACCTGTGTTAGAATAGGGTGATAAAATGGTGGTAATGGTATAGTGATTTGCAAACAAATAACCTTCCGTTAAACTACAAAATTCTTCAAGAGAAAATGAGTTGGGTAGTGAGAAGGGGAAAGAATAAATGGCCTCAAATTCTGTCCTTTGGAGTCTTTGTTTAAGCTCTTAACAGGATTCTCTTGCTTTGATCACATTCAGTCCTCCCCTCTGGGGATTCTCTCATCAGACCCCTCTCCTGTCAAGTCATAGATGTTGTGGATTCTCCTCTATTTGAAAAGGATCTCCCTAGACTTGAGCAAGTAGGAAATAGTGAAAGGTAAGAGTTTCTTGGGGAAACCCGGGGAATTTTGTCAGGGACCGAATGCAGTTTAAAAAAGAGATTAGTAGATTGTTTCTTTCTTTGTTTAAAAATACCAGTCTTCTACAAAATAGAGTGAAAGATTTTAACCTCATTAAGTCAGAGCTGACTCATTCCAGTTTAGCGCTCATTTGGACAAGGATGACATGATTCTTAGCAAGCAAAAAGTTTGAATGAAGTAAGTGCTAAATATCAGATTTTGGACGTTTTCCAAACGTTGGGTGTTGTAGGCTTTGATGAACTATAAATTTTTATTAAGTTTATCATTTTTCTTTGATTCCTAGTCCTTCATTTAAAATATCACTTGTCTGGTTTTAAAAAAAAAATCATTTAGTAATTTGTTCCTCTGCTGTAGATACAACATAAAAATAAGCATTTCTTATGCACAGATGGCATGAAGTAGGTCTGGCCTAATAGTCAACTACCCTTTTTAGTTCCTGCCAGAAAGAAGGGCTGTATTTCTGGTTCTTTAGATCTCTGCTCAAATGTCAGTTCTGAAAAACTTTCCCTCACCACCTTATCTAAATTAATTACTCCTCTTCCACTTGCTGTACCTCACACAGAAGGTGATGTGATCATGGGGAAAAACTTGGACTCTGAACCCAGGTGGCTAGGAGTCAAGTCTTGGCTCTTCCTCTAATTGAGTGACTTTGGGCCTTGTCTCTTCATTTGTAAAATAATAAAACCCCTTCATAGAGTAAGTTAATTCCAATGATACTTATTCATAGTGCATGGCACATGGTCAGAGCTGTATAAGTGAATGATTATCTCCACGGTTTCTATTACTCCTTTATAGCACTTTTTACTCTCTGTAACTATTTTAAGTTATTTGTTACTGTGGTTACTCTCTCCCAATAGTCTGTGTCTCCATTAGAATGTGAACTCCCATGTGCCAGCATCTTATCTTTCGGTTTACCTTGGTCTCCCGAGGTCCTTGTACAGGCACCTGCCCACAGTAGGCTCTCAATAAATATTTGTCGAATGAATGAATGGGCAACCTAGAACCCTTTTGAACCTAAATCAAAATGAACTAGTTTTTAAATGTTGCCAACTTTTATATTTTTTTCAGCAAATATTCCCATCATTCACCACCTAGATATATATTTTATCATTGGTTTCTCTTCATGTCATATCAGGGAGTTACATTCCTCAAAGCCAGATGGTCTCTTGTGTTACCTTAGTGAGATTTTTTTTTCCCCCCCCAATGAAGCTGGGTATTTGTTTAGAATTTCTCCACACTAAAATAATGGTGTATTATTTTGGATACTGTGGAGATTAGATCATGGAGCCTCTCTTTTTTATCTCTTAATATGGAGGAGACTCCCTGATAGTTTCTGAATTTTCCCCTGAGGTTATTCCTTTGGCTTACTTTGAACACAGATAGGGTGGCCTTATTGTCAAGGAGCCTCCTTTTAAAAAAAAAAATTAAAAACTTTATTGAATTATAAGTGACATACAATAAACTGAACATATTTAAAGTGCACAGTTTCATAAGGTGTTGTTTGTTGTTTTCAACCGTTAGGATCAACCCACGAGCAAACCTTGGGAGACCTTTCTAGGACTAGAGAATCAAATCAGTACTATCAGCCTTAAGAAGGGAAAATCGTATGTGTGGTATCCTAGAGCATGAGTGGCCTTAAGGGTGGGAGTGCTCACTTCCTCTTCTAAGGAGGTAGGAAGCTGGGAGACATCATCCAAGGAATAAGAAGTGTTCCAAGGAATAAGAAGTAGAGGTTTACATAAGTAGTTTGAAGTTGCCA